CCCCCCCTTGGGACACTGTTGGCTCCACAAGGACACCAGGACCAAGGCACTTGCACAGCCACTCCTCCATCCCAGCACTCACTGTATTTGGCCATGTTGGCACCCGCCAATCTCAGCCACCAGGCAGTGGTGGCAGTTGAAAATCAGTCCCACACGGACCCCAATTTTTTCCCTGAGCCCCAGGCTGAGGGTGCCCCTGTGGCACTTCCCTACCTCTCCCTGCTAGATGCCAATCACCAGCTCCCTCTGCCCTCTGCATCTTTGCCCAGTGTGGCAGCACAAAGCAGAGTGATCCCAGGGCAAGGACATGTCCCCCCTGGGGCAGCCCCCCAGGACCATCACTGCCTTCAGGAGGTGATGCTTCTTCCTTGTCCAGGTGTTCCTCAGCACCCGCCGGGGTGCATGGATCCTCAACCGCGTTGGAGATCAGGGCTACCCCATCGACACCATCTTAACCACTCGCATGAAGGTATTCCTGCAGGGGCTGCTCAGCCCGTCCCTGGCGTGTGACTACATGGAGAAGAAGCTGAACGCCAGGTTTGACCACACGCATTACGGCCTGAAGCCAAAGCACAGGTATCAGCAAACATTCCCCCTGCCCAGGAGGGACCCACCGTCTCCCTCTGTGTCCAGCCTTGCTTTACCATTCCCTGCTCCCTATGTCTGGAAACCAGGTTAATAGCTGCGTTGTGCCCAAGCAATGCTCAGGGGAACCACCACTGCCCCTTCCAGGAACCCTTGGTGGCACCAGAGCAGGGGCAGCCGCTCAGCATCTCTGGGGGATCAGCCTTTTGAGAATGAGCATCCCTGGGGATGAGCATCCCCAGAGCAGGACACAGAACAGAGACACTCCCTCCCCAGTGCCCTAATGGCTCCTTGTACCTTCCAGGGTCCTTCACCAGCATCCAACCATCAACGATGACCTGCCCAACCGCATCATTTCGGGCAGGGTGCGGGTGAAGCCAAACATCCAGGAGTTCACGGAGACATCTGCCATCTTCGAGGATGGCACCAGGGAAGACATTGATGTCGTAGTTTTTGCCACAGGATACAGCTTCTCCTTCCCATTCCTTGAGGGCTTTGTGAAGGTGGTGGAGAACCAGATCCCCCTCTACAAATTCATGTTCCCTCCGGACCTGGAGAAGCCAACGCTGGCTTTCATCGGCTTCATCCAGCCCCTGGGTGCCATCATGCCCATCTCCGAGCTCCAGTGTCGCTGGGCCACTCGCGTCTTCAAGGGTAAGTGAGGCAAACCTGCCCCGTGACTGCAGCCTGAGCCTGAAGCCCTGGAGCAGGGGCAGATGGTGCCAGCCATGTCAGGGAGGCTGTGGCATCCTGGCTTGCAGCCCTCACGGTGAGATGGGCTCTTGCCTGACAGGCACAGAGACATCCATACCCTGTGTTCCATGGGCTGCTCCTTCCCATCCTGAGGAGCTCAGAAAAGCCTCAGGTGCCAGACCACTGGCCATGGTGGTGCCGGCAGGGGCACAGCACCCAGGCAAGGGCAGCACCAGAGTGGCCACCATGGCCAGCAGGGTGCAGCCTCCCCATGCTGTGGCTTATCCTCCCTAGGTCTGAACGAGCTGCCCCCGCGGCACGACATGGAGGCTGACATCAAACAGAAGAAAGAAGCGATGGCAAAGCGGTAAGATCCCCACAGGAACAGGGAGGGGGCTGCTGTGGGCACAGAAGCCCGTGGGCACCCATCCTGTCCCATGGCTGCATCCCGGCACATTTGTTCATGCCAACAGATGTCAGGGATATGATTGGCCACACTACCCCCAGCCCAGTAATCCTTCCCCATGGTGATCCATCCAATACTGCCTTGCTGGTGTGCAGGGCATCTGCCAGCTCTGCTGCCAGCACCTGCCCTTCCTCCCTGCCCACAGGTACGTGAAGAGCCAGCGGCACACCATCCAGGTGGATTACATCCCCTACATGGACGAGCTCGCCTGCCAGCTGGGGGTCAAGCCCAACCTGCTCACCCTCTTCCTCACGGACCCCAGGCTGGCTCTGGAGGTGGCCTTCGGTCCCTGCACGCCGTACCAGTACCGGCTGCGGGGCCCAGGTGCATGGGCAGGTGCCAGGGAGGCCATCCTGACCCAGCAGCAGCGCATCATCAAGCCCCTGCAGACGCGGCACGTGGAGGAACGTCCCTCGGCCCTCGCTGTGCCCCTCATCTTCAAGGTGGTCGGGGCCGTGGCCATCCTCGCTGCTGTTTTTGCTTACTTTTAGGTGCCCTGCAAGCATGAGAGGGCACGGTTTGCAATGTGCCAAGGGGCTGGCCGGCCACCCCTGCCCCACAGCAGTCTGTGCACCCCAGTGCTGGCAGAAACCCCTGCCTAGCACGGCCCCATTGTGACCACAGCATGAGCTCGGGATGCACAGAACCTCCCCAGCTGCCAAAATAAAGATTGGACCCCTGTGCTGTGCCTCTCCCTGTGGAGCTGCTGCCAGGGACAGAGAAAGAAACCTGCTCATATGCGGGGTAAAATCCAGTCCCTCTCAGCCAGCACTCTGGGCTTTTCTGTCCCCTGTAACCCAGTTGTGCCACTGCTGGCACACTCACAGGAAAGCTAAGCAGCAAAGGCACTGCAAACTTCCTAACTGCATAAATGCATTGAACAGCCAAGCATTGTCCTGTTACTGACAACATCATGACCCACTGTGTGCCAGGGGAATGCTCATGGGTGTGAGGTCGTCCTCGTGCCACTGGCCCACAGCAGTACACATCTACACACCTGTGTGTATCCACGGCAAGACAGCCTTGCTCAGGGTGTGCAACGCAGGAGCAGGTCCCGGGGTCACAGTAGCACAGTTCAGTGCCACCTTCATCACCTGCACGCAGCCCCTCCAGAAGATGGCTGGGTGGGATGGCCACCCAGAGTGGTGACAGGAGTCTTGGCCACCACACACCTGGGCTGGCATGACTGCCAACCACCTGAGCATCCTCCTAGTTTGTTTTCCATGGCACAACCTGCTGAAATCTGGAGCACAGCCACATCTCTGCCCTGCCCACTGAGTCCCGGGGCAGTGCCAGCATCATCAAGTGCTCACAGAATCCAATGAGCCTCCTGTGGAGGGCAGGCACAGATAGGGGGAGTGGCAGAGTGGTGGGGGGAACCTGTAGATCGTGTCTAGAAGAAACACATCTTATGAAACCCTAGCTTCCCTTGGCCACCCACAGGAAGCACAGGGACACTCACTCCCAAACTGAGCGCCCTTCCTGGTGTAGCCCGCCAGGCTCTGCAACCCGCTCAGTGCCACAGCTTCTCCGGAATCCCTGCCAACACCAGAATGCGGGACATGGCTCCCCAGAGAGTAGCCATCATTGGTGCCGGTGCCTCTGGCCTGTGTGCCCTGAAATGCTGCCTGGATGAGGGGCTGGAGCCCACCTGCTTTGAGAGGAGCAAGGACATCGGGGGCCTCTGGCGCTTCGAGGTAAGCCCCACGCATGCCAGCCTGCCCCGTGGCAGCAGAACAGATAGGATTGGGATCGGTTCTTGGCAGATAAAGCACCACTCCCCTGCTTTGTAAGCGTGTGCCAGGCAGGTTTGCCAGCTAAACGACAGGAAAGTAAAACAGCTTGGCAGCAAAAGGTCCCCGTGGTGCCAGCCGGTGTGCTGGGCACATGGGACCCATCTCCTTCCCACTAGCAGCAGCACGGACCCTCTCCAAGGACCTCACCCCAGGGCTTACTCCCCCCAGCTCAGCTTTCCTCTTTCCCATCCTTCCCTTCCTGGTCTCATCCACCCCTTGCTCTGCTGATTTGCTCTTGGTCCCCTCCAGCCCTTTCCCACATATCCTTGTCCTATCTGACCCCATTGTCTGTCCCAGTTTCTGTCTTTTCCAGCCCTTCCCTGGAATCACTGTTGCTCCCCTCCCTGCTCCTGTGCTGCTCACCCACGCAAAGGCACCAAGTGCTGCCTCCTCTGTGCCTTGGCTCTCCCTGTCTCACGGGAAGCCTGAGAGCTTGTTTCTGCACCCACCTAATAAGGCTGCTGACTTTTCCCCCATGGACCCACCAACAAGAATACCAGTGCTCCCACCATGCCCTGTTATGTGGGTGGGAGAGGCCGGGGGGACACACATGGGCACCACACCAGTGTGGGGTTGGGAGTGGCTCAGTCACAGCCTGCTGGTCCTGCCCATGATGGGTCAGGAATGGGACTGGTGCAGCGAAGCCAGGGAAGCAGCATCCAGCTGCTAAGGCACAGACCTGTCAAGCAGGAGCAGCCACTCAGCAGGAAGCACTGGAGCTGGCTCCACAACCAGTGAGACCTGATGTGGCAGCTGCGGCAATGACACCGCAGGCAGCTTCGGGAATGCACCACCTCACAGGGGCAAGGAGTGGGAGTGGGGAAGCTGAGGCACGAGACCACCACGACATGCTGTCACTACTGCCTGGTTGTCACAAACCCAGAGCTTCCTCTTCCACGTTTTTTGAGGCAGGTGGTCTCCCTCATGGGAGAGTACAGGGATGGGTGCTATGATCACCTGTGGCGTAATTCAGCATTCACAGGCATAGAGATGTGCCAGGCAGGGCAGGCAGGTGGCCCTGCAGTCCCTGGCCAGTGCTGAGCCGTGACCCACTCCTACAGGAGAACCCCGAGGACGGCCGTGCCAGCATCTACCGCTCCGTCATCATCAACACCTCCAAGGAGATGATGTGCTTCAGCGACTTCCCCATCCCCGAGGACTTCCCCAACTACATGCACAACTCCAAGATCATGGAGTACTTCCGCATGTACGCCCAGCACTTCGACCTGCTCCGCCACATCCGCTTCAGGGTGAGAGCTGGGGGGCCAAGGGGGTGGTGGCAGCGGGGCCAGGGGGCGCAGGGTGCCTGACGCCCGCTCCCCCTGCACCCAGACCAGCGTGTGCCGCGTGTCCAAGCGCCCTGACTTTGCCACCACGGGCCAGTGGGAGGTGGTGACGGAGAGCGAGGGGAAGCAGGAGGCAGCTGTCTTCGACGCCGTGCTGGTGTGCAGCGGGCACCACACCGATGCACATCTCCCACTGAACACCTTCCCAGGTACTGCCTCACGGGCTGCTCGCCTGGTCCTTGACACCCCTGGGACCACCCTCCTCTCCTGCTCAGCCTCCACCCTGCTCTGGGTGCTACCAAAAATGCCTCTGAAGTTTTAACACACCAGGTGGGATTGCATGAGCACCCAAAGCATCCTGCTGGCAGATGTCACAGCTGCCCGTGTGCCTCTCCCACCAGAGACAGGCTCCCTCTCCACACTGCTGGCCAAGCACATGCTAGGCTCTCCAGCTCCTCACCAAGCTTCAGAGCTCAGCACTCGTGTTGGCCTTCTCCTTTGGGAGACAGGCAAAAATGCCTGGAGGGCTTTCAGCTGTGGAGACCCTCTTTGGCTGGAAAACAGGCTGGAGGATATGGTGATATGGTACAAACCCCAGCCACTCCTCTACCCTCAGTGCATAGCACCAGACAGGAACTGCAGGAAGATTTTGGTATGGGAGCACAGAGGTATTCAGTCCAAGCCCTGCTCCAAGTCAGGCTAGCCCCAAAGCCAGAGCAGGATTCTCAGGGCCACACTGAGAATCTCCCAGGCTGGAGATGCCACCACCTTTCTGGGCACTACCCCAGCCCGTTCCCAAAATACACCACCAATCTGATCAGGGGGCAGCCACCCTCCTACCCCACATCCCAGCCCAGCATGGCTTCCCTCTCTCTTCCAGGGCTGGAAAAGTTTGAAGGCTCGTACCTGCACAGCCGGGACTACAAGAGCCCACAACCCTTTTCGGGAAAGCGGGTGGTCGTAGTTGGCACCGGGAATTCAGGCATCGATATCGCAGTGGAGCTGAGCCACACAGCCAAACAGGTCTGCTGGGAGAGCCAACAGGGATAGGGTGCTTATTATTCAGACCCTGGAGAGCACCGATCATCCCCCCCCACCCGCTGCAGGCTCCCCTCCCTCCAGCACCCGGCCACAAGCACCACATCCCCTCTCGGTGGAGGTGTCTACTGTGGTCCCAGCAGCTGTGCTGGCATCCCTGTCCTTGGAACATGGCAATGGTCCAGCCTGGTCTCAGGACACTGCCATGCTGCCACCTCTCTTCTCCTTTCTCCCAGGTTTTTCTCAGCACCAAGCGTGGGACCTGGGTGCTACACCGGGTGGCGGACAGAGGGTACCCCTTTGACTTCAGCTACCTCAACCGCTTCAGCCACTTCCGCACGAGCCTGCTGCCTCAAAACATCACCAATTTTTTCATGGAGAGGAAGATGAATGCCCGCTTTGACCACAGACTCTATGGCCTAAAGCCCCAGCACAGGTGAGTGCCTGGCAGGTACCTGGCCTGGGTACCTGTCCCAGCAATGCCCATCCTGCTGCCCGTCTCACTGCCCAGGCCCATACAAGGTCTGTCCGTGCCTTCCAGGATCTTTGACCAGCACCCGACCGTCAACGACGACCTGCCCAACCGCATCATTTCAGGCAGGGTGCGGGTGAAGCCGAACATCCAGGAGTTCACAGAGACGTCTGTGATCTTTGAGGATGGCACCAAGGAAGACATTGACGCCGTGGTCTTCGCCACAGGATACAGCTTCTCCTTCCCTTTCCTCGAGGAGTGTGTGAAGGTGGTGCAGAACCAGGTCTCCCTCTACAAATTCGTGTTCCCCCCTGATCTGGAGAAGCCAACGCTGGCTTTCATCGGCCTCATTCAGCCCCTGGGTGCCATCATGCCCATCTCTGAGCTCCAGAGTCGCTGGGCCACGCAAGTCTTCAAGGGTAAATCAGGCAGTTTGGGGGGATGCAGCCAGGTTTCCCTAGCTACACCAAGACTGAGGTGTTCAGCTGGTGGCCTCCCCTCACATGCTGTCTCCCCACACTCACCTTTTAATCATCCTTTTGCTTCTTTATGAGGACAAAAAACAGCGTTGTATTTTGCAACAAGTCTTGCACTGATCATCTCTTGTGAGGAACACTAACAGGTCCTGTTGCCTGCAAACCACCTTCTCCCTTTCCTTTCCTACCATTACTTTCTTTGCCCAAGCCTCCCACTTTGCTCTTGAGGTGGTGGCACTTCCCCAAAGCCCCAAAGGCTTCCATGTGCAAGCAGAGGCCTGGCTGAGCCATCCAGACGGTGGTGGGAGCACAGCCCTCCCTCCAGCTACAGCCTCCTCTTCTCCAGGGCTGCAGGACCTGCCGCCACTTGCCAACATGCTGGCTGAGATCACACAGACCAAGGACCAAATGGCCAAGCGGTAAGGACCCTGCACAGCATCACCTCTGCCACCCTTCCCCCCGTGCTCATGTGCCAAACCCGCCTCCCCTTCCTCCCTGCCCACAGGTACGTGAAGAGCCAGCGGCACACCATCCAGGTGGATTACATCCCCTACATGGACGAGCTCGCCTGCCAGCTGGGGGTCAAGCCCAACCTGCTCACCCTCTTCCTCACGGA